ATGTTACTTGATAAACAAACGGTCAAAGAGAAATCCTCATATACAATGTCTGAACCATGAGGAAACCTAAACTGACCTAAAACTGGAATTGAAATAAAATACTTAAAGCTTACTCAAACGCTTTAAGTCTACAAAGCAATTTAGTACTGATATTCATAACTAATATTGCTGTTATTAATATTGGCCTGTAAGCCGACAGCAGAGACTTCGCGGATTGTGAGCAATGGTAATCTATAGGTTAAATAGCTTAACTTTCTTGACAGTAATAAAGGTAAGAAAATTGCATCAAAATCTGGAATAAATGAACTCGATTCTATTATATTCCAGACTGAAGACATTTTTAAAGCTTCTCTTGACACACGCCTTGTTCTAAATGTTCATGACTAATATTATTTTTTATTTTGTTTTCCCTCCTGTCAAGAAATTTGAGCGAACGTGCCCCGCCATGTCAAGAGCAAGTAATAGCGACGTCGTTGTTTTCGTTGTCGCTATAAAATACGGAGCTGCAATCCAGTTACGCCCCCGGGCGACGAAGCTCGGCCGAGTGTGTCGGTGAATCACCTTCGCATCTGCGGACATTTATTGAAATTCACAGAGAATCTTGCAGAGATAGAATTTCTCTTTTGCTAAGGGAAATTTTCCAGAAATTTTAAGTCTTTCTTCCTCGTTTTAAAAATATAAGATTCATATTTAGTAGGAGGATATATTTATAAGGCATTGAGAGTCGAATAGCACAGTAAATAGTTTGATTCGATACAGACTGTATTTTTTAAAGCGAAATTGAACGTTTTCAATAATTTGATTCGAGCAAATAATGCCTTATCATTATCGAAGCTAGAATTTCCAAATATTCTATTCATTCACAAGTGCGCGGATTTAAAAAAATTAATGATGAATTACCATTCGATTGCCGTATTTCCATTGTATAGTCTCCTTAGCGAGGGATCTCTAGTGTCTTCACCTTCTTTTAATTTAATTCCAAACTCTAAGTACATATAGTGAATAGTTCAACACTTGCCTTGAGTTTAGTGATTGATTTTTTATTTTTAGCGAAACTACAATTGACAAGTCTAGCTGTAGTTTAATTATATTTATAATTAATATTGTAAATGTAATTAAACATTAAACATTTACAATTAACCTATATATTTACAATTAAAAACAATAATATCATCAGTAAATTTTCGAGGCCCTCGTAGCTAAGAATTTCCTCCATGGCCTCAATATTGGAGTGGCGCTCGATGAACATACGCCTCATGGCCGTAAAATCTTACGAGATCAATTGACCAGAAATATTGCCTGGCCATCAGCAATTATTAAAATAAAAGCAATGAGGCAAGAAGGTAAAAAAGAAAGTCCCGAGCCCACGTTACTTCCGTGATGTCGCTATACTATAAGATTTTGGTTTTTCTATCGTATCGTTATATTTTTAAATATTGAGAAAATAGATTAACACGCTTCATAGTGAATTTGCTTTTTTGCGTCCATTAGAATTTTGTAAATGCGCAATGTTAAGCTGGGCTTGACAATATGGAATATTTAATAGTATTTCACAATGTATGAAAATACATGAAAATTAGATGTCAGCACGACATAACATTCATTTGAATGTTTGGAAAGACGCCAGCGTGAATGGAACTAAGCGGTTTAGCTGTTTAGAGGATTACCGGGATAACTTATTGAAATATTCTTTGAAAGTAAGACTAAGGCTCAGTATGACTATGATTAAAGCCTGAAATGAAAATTAAAGGGAATGCATGCGAAAAATAACAAGGTATTCCATTCTAATAATTCTACTAAACATTAATTATCAAAATGTAATTTTAGAAAGTATACAATAAATTAATATGCATTAGACACACGTCCCGCACGCATAGATTACGGTGATGTCCGTGAGTCTCAAGTACACCAGCATATCTACCGATTAAATTTAAATATATTCTGAATATTTTATTTCCAATTTATCTTCCCCAATTTTTCTTATTTCCATACTACCATTGTGAAAATTTATCGACGTTCAACGAGAATTCATTTGTGATTCCTCGCTCCCTATATATGAAATATTGCCTTCACGCGTTTGTAATTACATGGAGACGAATCGCCTGCTGCTCGGCTACATTTGGATTCAAGATCTTCCCAATATGTTACATTTTCATGCAGATATTGCATTCCGCCAGCCAGCGATTGATGCCAAAGCACCTAAGCCCATTTATTGAAAATTTTTATGTCGGAATTTCTAAATTAAGTTTGAAATATCTTTCCCGCGATCGTCGGCTCCTGTCTGTCTTAGATATCTTATAAAAATAAAGTATACAAATAATTTTAATTATTTTTCTAGTTAATTTCGTAGATAATCCAAATTTAATCTAATTAAAGTTAATTTACTAAAGTTCAGATAATTTATGGTGAATAATTTTTGAGTAACTTCAAATTAACCTTGAAATATTTTATTTCTTGAATTAATCGATGAAAATGAAAGTTGGTGATCCTATTGTGAGCTTCTCATTTCCTTTGAAAGGCGATATACTTGTAAAGTATTTTCCTGCACCGAAAACATGTCAAAACAAATGCCAGCTGTCAACACATGAGGATTAAGTTAAATGCTGGTTCTGATATCCGTAGACACGTGCCAAATATCACCAGAGACTTGACTGTTCATTATACGTATTAGATCGGATCGCTCTTTCACCCCAAAATAAGATAATAATATCTCTTTCCTTCCGAATTTTTTTTAACGAAGTCGAGGTAAAATTCGTTGTATTGATTGAGTGGTTTTAGATTAGTATTATCCTTGTTACAAGATCTTCTGATAAATTTTCGTTATTTCATTTTATTTCATTGAACGCAGCTCTTGTTTGCCGTATTACCATGGTTAGTGTTCAATTGCCATGATTTAACCTAATAATTTTTATTCAAATAGTTCAGTGTAGTCTCATACAAAATTTTGAATTCTATTATCAGATTTGCTTATTTATTTTCGGAAGAATTTTTTCACAACTTAAAAGAATTCATTTGCTGTGAAAGATAAAATATTTCTATAGCCTTCCAAATTTGAGAAAAATCTGACCGTACGTTCAAAAAATTTTACGTTTTGAAAAAAGCGCCGAATTTCAGGTAAAAGTTTCAAATCGTAAATGCACGATCCGCCTATATAAATTTTACGAGTTCAAAGTCAGTACGACTATAGGGGCCGTTTTTAGATTGAAGGCACTATTTCAAATATAGGGAGCAAGGAATCACCAAAAGGAATTTTCGTTAAACATATATGAATTTTCATTACGGTAGTCTAGAAATAAGAAAAATTTTGGATAAAATTATCGGAGTTGACTGCAATAAATCCTGAACTTCTACATTTAAATAGAAAATTAGCAGGCTTAACTGTAAACGAATAAACTCTAAAGATTATTCGTTAAGATGGGTTACATCTTATGTATTAACACTTATTATTGAGTTAATGAAAACTAGAAGAACATATAACTCTCTACTAAACTTCTTATAAATCTGTAAATCCCAAAAGAAAAAAAGCTAAAAAACAATTAAAAAAGGAGTCCAAAAAAGCTAAATGAGCTAAACTTTTTTATGAATCTGTGAACTCCTCATAGCCGTATCCCGTATTCTCAGCCTCCCGTTTGTCACGGTCCGAAGCCGTGTAAAACAGAGCCTGGAAACATAGACGGAGCTTCATGCCTGTTCTACGGCAGTTCCTTCGCAGCGTTTCCGGCTATCGCCGTAAATTACCCCGGGGTAATTGGTCTACTGCACTTTTAGGAGGGAAATAAACGAAGGGTGACTGCACTGAAGTTGCTGACATCGTGGACCTCTGGGAGGTACTTTCAATGCGTAACATTACTCACTGCGCGAAGCGATTGATTATAAATTTTTTCCTCAATATACGACTTTTAATTTTAAAATAAGACTCGTTTAAACTCAACTTATGATAACCATAACCGAAAAGAATATTTATTCCTTTCGAAGGAGTCTTCCTTTTTATTCCTATTGAAATTATTCAATAGGAATAGACAATATGTGAACTATATCTGTGCGTTTTTCGTGACATATAAACTACCTAATTATCTTTCTCACTTCAACAAGCCTAAGCTTTATGTTCAAAATTTGTGTAATTATTTGGCCAATCAGGAGCCATATTTGATTAATTTGGGAGCATCAGCAGGGTTCTCGACTTACGTAAAACACGCACTCAAGTTTTCTTATATAAATAGCTGCAAGTGATGGAAATTTCGCGGCAGAAATTTGACCTCACGTCATCCCCGAGGACCGGGCATATAAACGCTCCCGAGGGCGCCAGAGGAGAATGTAGATGTAGAGAAACGATTTGTCAGAGCCGACGACTGCAGCCTGCTGCAATATTTTAACTGTCGGTCCTTAAATCACGACTGGTTGACCGACTCGATAAAAACACGAGCCAATTGTGGTGCCTGGCCCTATAAAATTCGTATTTGGTGGATTTATATGGAGGATTCTAAATCATTATTGAGCTGAGCGAGTTGTCAAAGTGAAAATGATCGATAATATTTCATCTGTGCAGTGAATCAAGTAATGAACCCCAATCGTCCTGAAATTTTACTTTTAAACGAGTGCGGCAGAGCATATCATAACATAACATAACATAACATAGTGATGTCGGCTCTGAAGTGTAGGCCTGATGTGGCCTGTCGCCGATTCTTTTCCATTTCGTGCCTTGTTCATAGATCTAAACTCGTGTCATTTGACCGGATCTTTTCATGACTGGCGATAGTTTGAAGAAGCTACTAGAAAAATGGCGTTATCACGCAATAAAACGCCCGCTGAAAATGGCGTTATCACGCAATAAAACGCCCGCTGAAAATGATGTTATCACGCAATAAAACGGCGGCTGAAAATGGCGTTATCACTCAATAAAATAATTCAACTTTTGTAAATTTTGCTTTCTTGGACACCGTATCAATTGATGCTATTCTTTATTTATCATTGCGGAGGCACTGAAGAATTGGATTTTGGAAACTGGAAACTCGGGTCACACCCGGTCAGTCAGCAGGCAACAGTGGTGAAGTGAGGGTGTGCCGGTAGGTATGTCACCCTCGTACAGTCGTACTTGGTTGAGGGATTTGCTTTATCAGACGAAATTGATTTTGGGTCTTGTCAAAAAGATGCCATTTTTTGTGTACTCTCTTTAACAATAGGTCCATATTTTATATCCTTCTTTCCATTTTGCAGTGAAATATTCTTCTTCTTTTGGAAACAATAATAGTAATTAAGATTTATTTGACATTCATTTTTATTCAAGATAAACCTTTGTAATTTGTGAAATAAATCAACCTTTTTTGAGATTGGATGTATTGAGGTGAAGATGTAGAATGAGGTAGGAAAGAAAGTTGATAATTCACGGAGTCTTAGTAAGTAGCTTGTAGTACTTTCAAAGTACTATAATAAATTATATAATACAATAGGATATATAATAATAAGTATAATAAATTACTTTGTAAATGTAGGTTGTAGAAATAAAGGTAGATTGTATTTCACTCACACTCTCAAGTTTCAACAAGTCAACATAGTATGTTGTAATTTTTTTTCAGGCATGCTGGACATAATCAATTTGGCTAATGGAGCTGAAGTTGTTCATCAGATGTGCCTGGTGAGATGTCTTTGCAGTCCAATATGTCCGGGAATATCAGGTGAGTAATCTACTGAGCTCTGATAGTGATAGTATTACTTACATTAATTACTGCTATATTGTAATGCTATTTCACTGAAATAGGAAAGTACCATGGAAAGAGGAAAAATGTTAATATGCAGGCAATGCCATTAATAGGAAATTCATCTCCTAATGTAAAAATTACATGCAGGCGATGCAGCACTTTGTTCAGTTGGTTATGAAGTGTTGACTGTTAAGTTGATGTACTGCAATATATAATTCATTAAAACTAGTCAATATTCAACTAATTTTGCAGTACTTTGTTACACTGAAGTGAGAAGTCTAATTTACCAATATGCTATTCAGTCATCAGTAATCAAGACAGAAAGTGGCTAAATCATAAATGGGTCAATGTACAATAATTCACATATAGAGTTTTAGATAGTTTCACATACATTTATAAAAACTTAATTCAATTTCCACCTTATGATATTATTCAATTTTTTGCTTATAGCATCTATGTTGGTGCAAAGTTTTGCTGTATTGTTGTACATGCATAGTTACCGTATAACATTTGCATCCTTAAAATTCTTAAATCTACCTTTAACAATTCATCTTAGAAGACCATTAAGCTAAGTGCTCACTTTTCATATCTAATTTCTGATTTTACCGAAATATTTTTTATAAATTCATCTTGTTCACAACTTGGATGTTCTTGTTTGTTTGATGCAGGCAGTGTGACCCACAGCGCTGGAGGTGCAGTCTCTACATGCTCCTACTCAGTGGGTGACGATGGCTTCACTGCCCTGGTGATGCTGCAGCCGGGAGTGAATCACATAGTTGCTCAGTATGGCACACACATGGCAACCAGGCAGATTGTCTTCTCTCCAATTCAAATTGAAAAATTTGTCCGCCTTATCTATGTTACAAGTTTTGATGAAGACAAATTCCAGGTATGCAAAATTATTTTTGTTGAATTAGAGTTTGATGCCCACAATGAAGCGTTTTCTGTGGAATTTATTCTATTTGCCAATGATTCATGTTTGGAAGGTCAATTCCTGAGCTCATTTGTTATAAGATTTATGTTCAGAAACAAACAATTACCTACATTTCTTTCATTCTCTTATCATTACAGTGCTGAAATACTTACAAGTAGGCTCATTTCATATATAATGTAGGTATCATTTATATACCAGCAGTTGAACATGGTCAAATTGATACTACTCATAAGGAATGTCATAATAGTTCTTAGTCATTTATTACCATAGTTTTCTATTTTAATGGATCCCAATTTGCACTACAGGGCCCTAAAAAATTACGCAAGAAATGAAATAAAAAGTTATGCAACCCGCTCTGTAGGTAGAAACGTTACGTAACGTAAATAATACCTGATTAGATTTATTATTTATGTTTAAAATAAATTTGTAGACTTGATTTTCGAAGAATAAACTACCTCAGCTCACTGCGCAAATTAATTCTTTTCAGTAAGCCACACCCGATGTCGAGGCACCGTTTCTTTAGGTCTATTCTGAACAACCGTAAATTCTTGATTAAAATAACCACTTAATTTAAGATAATAAAATACGTTATTTTTCATTATTACCACACTTCTCTTCAACTTCACTTCATGTTGTTTGTTTTTTTGTCTGCTGCAAATCTTATAATCAATATTTAACACACTTCTAGCTTTCTCATCGATCTGAAATTTTGCAAACTTGCGTTAAGTCGGAGACAATGCATGAATCAATTGATAGAATAAAAAAAAACAGTTGTGGCCCAGTTCACGTCTATAACAAAACCGGCAGTTCATTTATATTAGCTTCACTTTTAACGAACCTCGACTTCAAACAGAGTCCTCTTGATCAATGGCATAGAACACATTTAAGTTTAAACCTAATTGAAAATTTATCAACTCCAATTTGTACTGCACGATCTCCATTCATCTCGACTGGATAACGTATAGTAGTGTAACGCAGGAGGAATTGCCGAACTATGATATTTATGATCAAATTAAATGGTAAATTCAATAACGCCCGATTTAAGTCTAGATTTTCAAGAACAATTAAACAAGTTTGAAGTTAATATGACAGTAATTCAATTGCATCGTTATTGAGACACGAAACAATCTGACAACGGGTTGAGTATTATGCCATAATTTAGCGCGCTCTTTAGCAGATCAAACTGACATTTAGAGATTCTGGTGCATCCCACGCTGAATTGAGTCGAGGAACACTTAAGCTACACCTGCGACAAGATAATTTATTGCACTTGATGGTAGACCTGCTAATTATGTAATTATTAAATTTTCATATAACAACATTGTTGCTAAGACTTTTGTGAATTGTATCGGTTATATTTTTGCATTCAACCCGACAGATATATTACGATGGCAATCCATTTTTATACATTACGTATACATAATAGTTTGGCCATAAATTTCCTCGATTACTGGAATTGCTTTGTGTTGCTTCGAGTGAAAAGGAAAGATTTCTTGTTAAACTCGTTAAAAATCTTAATAATTTACATTAAATTTCTTATAAATTGTCATATGAAGTTACTCTAAATCTGCTTGCTTCTGCGTTAAAAGCTCAAGGTGTTATGTTTTCTCCTTAAATTACTGGCCATTCTTCAGTCAGCTAGCGAGGTTTAATTCTGTGCAAATCTGTAACGAATCTCAATCATTTCTTTCGTAATGAAATGGGACATGCAATTGACTTCAGAAACCGATGACTGTCATCTTGCCTTTATCTGGGATCAAACTTACAGTATGATCGGTCAAGGGATGTGCCTACTATCAAAATTAAAGTAGTAGGTATCCGAAGCGTATTACGAGCACATACACTAAATACAAGTACACGAAGTGGTCTGAATACACACAGCGGCCGATTTCTGGGTTAATGGGACAGGTGGGTTAATTTAGCTTGATTATCTGATAGTAATTGGCTGACGGAGTTACGAACACTAAACTATGTTTGATTGTGCGGCTTCAAATGTCTAGTGTTCAAAAGCGTAAAATTTTTGCTGTTGGAAGGCTGGCTGCTCTTCATAAATGTTGCGTTTTGACCTTTTTTATCGATGGGAAGAAAAGGGCTAACGTTCTCATTGTTCTATTGATAAGCTTTCAATATTTGTTCTCTCCTAATTGTTGCCGGTGCTTCGAACTGAGTCACCATACCAGCCAGAATAAATTGCTAATAAAATAAACGTTATTAATTTAACTCTTTCGTCTCGGATACATTTATTAAATTTACCGTCGCCAATGCTATTCGTGCCTTGTGGTTTGGGGCCGAGAAGTCCTGTCAGTGTCGAAAGGGTTGAGGTCAACCCTATAGTAACAACTTTACAATGAACCCATGTCGGGCCCATGCGACAATGTGGAAATGATGTGGCATTATGGTTCCAACATATCGGCACCACATTGCTGCCGTTTGACGCCACGTATGCTTGACTTAGCCATGTGGCTGCGACATAGTACGCATGTTTCAAAATAATTTAATGAATTATGGTGGCGTGATTCCCAATGGCGTTAATGTGGCAAAACAAAATGAAACTCGAAAACAGTTTTTAATCAAACTCTGATGCATTCAATAATTTACCAAACGAAACATTTACTAGACAAAATTATTTCAGAGCGCCAAGTTTCCTCGAGCGTGAAAGTTGTATTTCGAGTTTCATGTAAAATCACTGACAACCATTAATATGAAGGTGGTCATATAAAAGAATATGTGAAATTAATTGAACTAATGGAAAATTTTTGAAGTGTGAAATCAAAAAATTTGAATACTTTAGGCTAGTCTGTCGAGTATATATGATTAAATTCAGGAAAAATTTCATGTATTCAGAAAATCGTACCAGAAATCTTACCATTCTTGTAAGTCAAACAGCACAAAATTGTGAATGAAATAGGTTGGGATTGTACAGTTTCAAATTATCTATTATTTGTTTGGATGTTCTTTCTCCATTTCTTATATTTCTAGTTTGGAAATTGTATCATATGTTCCAGTTGACGAAAAGTAATCCTATAAAAGAATTCTAATGCGTGAAATACTTGTGGTTACCCTCCATCGCCATTGAGGTCTTATTGATCAAATTATGCAATTTTATTAGGTAATATTTAGGTGCTTACGGCAATTCGGTAAATGAGCAGTTCTTCGACCAATATTAGTGATTTATGTTGAAGCTAAATTCGAGTCTATCGCTGAAACTTTCTGCTGAGTCCAAGCTATGTATCGAGTGGTCATCGTGTGGCTACTTTTCCCTTTCAAGCTAGCCGGCCACAACAATAACAACATAACTGTGTGTGTGTGTTTATTACATATTGATTCGTTAAAATACTGCTTGCAATAAATTTTTAAGGTCATCAGTGGGCAGGTGGTAGAGATTCGATTAGCATTAGTATTCTCTATGAAATTAAGGCAAAGAATGTTGATTTTCCAGGACTGAGTTCGTGGGTAGTGAAGCAGCGACTTGGACTTTCGACTATATCAGTTTATGCAAACTAACGCAGGATTGTCATAGTCTCAAAACTACATGTTTTCTGAAGCATAATGAATGTATGGTTGGAAGTATATATTTTGTGCTAGTCGTAATGCTGATTTGCAGTTAAAAATTCCTGTGATATATTTTGAGGTGCCAGTCAGGATTCAGGGTATAAATCTGCAGCTCCTTAGACTCCGCTCTGGACAGTTCCATTTAGTTGCTCAGTATCATATGTCGATTTCAATGCAAAAATTAACGCCATTGTAAGATGACAATGTTGATACCATTTGTCCCTTGATATTTCCTGATTGATGTCTTCCTTGTTGAAAAGTAAGATCCTTTACATGCGATATGTTCATGAGCATTTCCTTGTATTAGCCTTTCCTGTTTATCAAGTCACGCCCTTGGTGACGTCAAATAGAGAAGCTACTGTATATGAGCTCTGACCTAACCAGGAAACTCAGTCTGGGCCGAGAACCGTCGTGTATACGCCCATACTCCTGTCCTTAACAATCAGGACAGTAACTCTACATTAATGTCAGAGTAGAAGATACACTCTAGACTTATCCATACTCCAATTGGACGCCGAAGACATCTGTGTTAAAGCTCCAACTTATTAACTGATTATCCTAAACTGTAAGCCGATATATTCTCACTAAGTATAAGTATCTAATCTGTACTTAACTCGTGCCTCATTTATCCTCATTTAAGTCAAGGCACCAGAACCGGCCTCAGGAGTTGATAACTAATCAGATACGCCTATAAAGTGCATAGAAAAGCACAGCGTACATACGAGCCGTTAAACTCGTACACCATTGTACTCTGTATACATTTTGTTCACATATTTTAGTAAGGTGGAATTCCATGGATGATGGTTGATTGAAATATTAGTATTTAAAAGCAGAAGCGCTGTCATTGCTACCTCCTCTTCACCAGTGATGGCTTTTAGTTATTAGAATTAAAATTTCACTAGACAATATTTAATAACTCCACGTAGATTGTGCATGTTTATTATAAATTTTGTGCATGTATTTCGTACTCACAAAACCGTCAGTACTATTGCTGCTTAGAAGTTCCCATAGCATTATAAGAAGCCACGTTCAAGCTCTTGCTTGCTGAATTTATCTCTGTTTTGGGAGCAATAAAGGCCGCCGTTCCCCCAGCATAAAACTTTGGATTTTAAGAAGCAAGACTGCGACACCTTTATGACTGATGGCTGCCGCAGGGAGCATGGAAATAACCTTGAAACACGGTCAGTGCATGCAGCATGGGAAAGTTAATTTCAGCGCATCTGTACAGACACAACTTTTCGGTAACTTTCATGTGCGTAGACGCATAATTTTACGGTATTTGATATGTGTATTTAATGAAGGAAATTTTATGTGGTAAATAATCTTAGCTTCATCTGAGTGTATCTTCATAGAGTAAAATTCGAGAAAATCCTCTGTAGTGAAGCAGCTTGTCTGTAAAATTTCATCTGTAGAGACTTTTTTTTCCACGTAATTAGTATTCCCGATTTCGAAAGAAAAGTCGAGATAATAATCATAACTGTCGAGTATTTTCGAAGTGGGCAGCTAGAGAATCACATTTTTCGGTACAGTTAAATCCTTTGGTAAACACGTCCAGTGTCGTTGGTATAAACACTTTCATTTCACTCGGAATAACTTCATATATAATTACCAAATCGTACAAGCGAACTATTTATAGCTACAATTTTCATTCGTTTAAGTCATGACTTTCCATTCATGGCAGTTTCATTTGTGGTATTTCTTTGCGTTCTGCGGGGGCCAGCGGCAAATTTTCGCACTAGCATAGAATGTCCATTAGGATTTTATCTGGAAACTTGTGCTCTACTAAGCCGAAGCCAAGCGAGTCGATAAGCTCGAGAATTGTCAGAAATTCCTACGAGACTTGACACATATTTTGGTTATCGGGCAACATTTAAGCCTGAGCTGCGGCACTTTCCGACTTTAAGTAGATTTC